TGTAACGAATTTTTCTTGGAAAGTTGCTATTTTTACTACTTGTGCTTTGTCCTCTTATAATTTCGCTGCACGTCAGTTTAAGAAAATTGTTATGACATGGTTTTGTAGAGAATTCAATAAGGAATCTTTTGGAAAAAAATGTGGATCGATAGGATAAAAGCCGGCGGAGTTATATTCAAAATACGGGAGTGCGTTTATTTATGCGCCACCCGTTATATCTGAGTATATGTATCAAAACGGCGAATGGACAAACTACCGTTTTTTAAAAACGATATATATAACCCAAAACCTAAGTACATGAATCGTTCAAACCAAATACATGAATTAACTAAAGGAGGGAGCCCGATTTTACTTGGCCCACTGCTTTTTCGACTTAATTTTGATCAAGTTTTGTAGAGAAAACGATTTTACACATTTTTAAGTGCATATGTACCATTATAATCTTATGGAAACTTTTTAAATTAACTTTTCTAAGAAAGTACATTAAAGCATATCGGTGCTTAACAAAAACGATTCTGTTCAAAAGCTAATATCAAGTTACGGTAAAGCTTGATATAGAAAAATAGCCAATGAAAAACTGAACAAATTAGTACATGGACCATAGTCACACACTGTATATTTAACACTCTCTTGTACATTTGTATTTAATATCCCTGTATATTTAACATGGCTTATTTTTTGAACATTCCCTATCTAGTGATCATCCTTCAGCGATCAATTTTCCGTATTTTGGCCCATAAATAAGACAGGATGCAACTAGTCTTTAGTATAGAAAAACAGCTCTTGAAAAGCTCTACAATATTCTGACTAAACAAACTGTATATATTATTGGCCCAATCCATTGTAATTCAAGTACGAGAAAGATCAAGGAAATGCAATCATATTTTGCGGTGTTCGCCATCAAATTTCAATTCTTTCTCAAAACCAATGTCATATTTGGAATTATTATTAAAAACTGCATTGAACAATGTTTGTTTCGGAAGTTTTGGACAACTTTGATTTTTAGCAAAAATCTCGATCAGAACTTTTGAAAAAGATCAAAAAGAATTCCGAAACAAAGATTGTTCAATGCAGTTTTTAACGACGATTTCAAATATGATATTGGTTTTGAGAAAGAATTGAAATTTGATGGCGAAAACTGCAAACTATGATTGCATTTCTTTGATCTTTCTCGTACTTGAATTACAATGGATTGGGCCAATAATATATAGAGTCCGAAAAGCAAGGGGGAAACAGCTGATTGTTGAGCTTAAAAAGTTGGTTTAAATCGGTAAAAATCGCTTATGATTTTATCTTTTTTTCCTTTACTTTCACTATGTCTGATTCCTATTTTGTACAAATAAAGCAGGTTCTGCACTATTCATCGCAGTCTCTTTACTTGATTTCCCAAACAAATCACAGGAAATCGGAAAAAATCAGTGAAAATCGGAAAAATCCCCAAATCAGCTGTTTTCCCCTTGCGAAAAAGCAGTGGGCCAAAATCAAGTAAAATCGGGCTCTCTCCTTTAGTTAATTCATGTATTTAGTTTGAATGAATCGAACATAATGCAATAAACAAGTAAGAGATTAAAAATAAGATGCGTGATATACTAAAAATGACACAGTTATAATAGAAGGATGAAGCTTTTATATAAAATAGCCGTTATCGTCCGTCCGAGAGGCCGACAGTCACTATAATGGCGAAGAAACAATGCAGGTGGGGACAAGATGGACTAGACTTTTCTTTCTCCATTTCTTTTGCTGGAAATGTATTGACTAGACACGGGATGATTAGGTGCCTGACAAGAGTTTCAATAGTTCTTTTGATTCATGGGCAAAATTGAGAGTAATAGTAGTAAATCTTACAGCAGCTAGGCGACTTGATTTATTGTTAATTGACTGTCGACGTTTCGACTGTTCAGCAGTCATTTTCAAGACAAATAAAACGATGGTAAATACAATCATAGTTACATACTCAATACAAGAGAGTAGAAAACCAATGTACATTTTGAAAGAAAAATTTAATTTAAATTTAAAAAAACAGTGACGTAGAGATATTTTTTGTTAAGACATCACACAGTGTACATTTCTACAAATGCACACCCCGGTCTACAAAAATTTTTCATATAGGTTTTCGAGTGTGCTCATTCCAATAGCACTGCTTTCAAAGTCCAAAAACGGTTTTTAGTAGGTTTCCCAGAGACCGGGTCTTTCGAAAACCTCTTAAAAAACCGTTTTTGGGCTTTGAAAGCAGTGCTATTGGAATGAGCACACTCGAAAACCTATATGAAATTTTTTTATAGGCTTGAGCCTGATGTTACAGATGTTCGAATATGCAGTAGAAAACTTCGTGAACAATGTCTTCAACTGCAGGATTTTGTAAAATCTGTCGTTTTAGGGTCCAAAACCTCTCTTATTGTACATCAGTCGATGCAGTTTTTTGCGCTCATTCCAAATATGCTCTTTTATCAAGTTTTGAAACATTTTAGTCCGAGAAAAATAGAAAATACTTGAAAAACCCATAACTCGGCACAGGCGTATGTGTGGTAATTTGTGCTAACTGTGTTAACAGCTAGATGTACGAGAACATTTGGTGAAAGTTTTATCCAAACTGGAGTTTCGCTCTTCCTCGCGCACGCACTTTACTGAATACGCCACTTCGGAAAACTCGCTAGAAAAATGTATTGTTATTTTTTCCCGGCTTAGGAAATGCAAAATTAGAAATTCTTTTTAGCAGTCGGTAGAGGACTCGACATAGATTCTGAATATGTGTTTGTTTGTCTCCAGTCTTAACTTGATTTGCGTATAAATCCAGTTTTCAACAACACCATTGTTTTCGGTCAAATTTTTTCTTAGTGATTTTCCCGCTAACTATGGCAGTTAGAAAAAAGCGCCAATGGCAGAAAGATAGAGCGTATGCCGAAGTGTAAGACCCGTCACTCAAAACTTGGAAAAGGCCACTTTCGTTTTTTCACCAAAAGCTCGCTTAGATGCACACTGTGCATCAAGACGAGAAACAGTAAAAAGGATAAGAAAATGCACGTAACGTGCCTTCGCTACTTGCCATTTATGAATGTATTTTGAAACCATCAGGGTGGTTTATCCAGAGACTTTTTTTTGACAGTGCAGTCATGATCTCATTTATTTCTTTAGTACCTGTGACATGAGTTCGATCAACGGTGTTTCCACTTCATCACTTTTATCTGTTTCTACCGCACCGTCATCATCGCTCAGTACCATTCGGAATATTGATGATCGTATGAAACCAATTGCCTATTGGCGTCTGCTAATTTCACCTATGAGTTGGTTTCATTGTTTTCAATTGCTTTATCAAACTCAATCATATTGTCGTCGTAAATCTCTTATCTATTATTTAACTATTATTACTTTATTATTTCTATTAGCTTCGTGGTGTACATTATATTGGTATATTAATTTTGATAGTGGACTGTATTTAACTTTGTTGGCAGATGTATCTGCTGGAAGAATAAATATAACGGATGCTAAACATGAATTCACTCAGATCTTTTGGCAAACATCAATAAAAGCATTATTTATAGGCATTTGTTTTGGTTTAATTATGTTGTGTCAAACGTGTCTTGCTGCACAATGGCGACAACGTTTGTGTGATCAGTTTCATCGTTTGTTGTTCACAAGTACGTTACATTACTTGACTTTAACAAGGTAGAGCTGTTGTGTGTAAAATGCAACCGTAGAATACTACCAAACAAAATTTAAAAATAACTACGCACAAATTTCTAATGTTCACAACTTGTTGTATTCAGAAAGAGCGCTGCAGGTCAGACGTAACCTGTCCAGGTTACGGGTTATGGAAAAGATGTATGGTTTACTCAGTTGTGTATTCTTGCGAAGATATTTTGGTAACATCGTTGCAAGTCTTTAATTCTCTAAGCAACAATAAAATCAAACGTACGATATCTATACTCGTTAAGTAGTTTATCAGCTGGAAATCTGTTTTATATGTGTATTTTGATGAAAAACTTCAATGCAATATGAAGGCGAAACAATTTTGATTGCTTTTTGTAGGTAGCTCGAACGGAAGTGTATTGTATTACTCGTCAATTTCGACCACCGATGATTTATCTACAATACTAACAAATGATATTCGTCAATTTACTACTCATATGTGCATAGCTCTATTTGGTTCATTATATTTCAGTGGTTTTATATCAATCACCTCATCTATAATCGCATTCAGTATTTGGATATATAAGCAGACACAAGGTGATTATACTGGTTTAATGATTATGTTTGGAACATTTTTTATTTGTACAATTTTCATAACAATAATTAGTAATAAATTCAACATGATCACAGCTCAACAATCAAGACTAAAAGGTGAATTACGTTCCTTTTTACAACGAATACAAATAAACAGTGAATCCATTTCATTCTATACAAGTCAATTAGTTGAACATAAATATTTTAAACAATTTCAAACTAGTGTACATAAATATAATTTATTAGCATCAGTATGGTATGGAATTGTCAATTTACCGTTAAGTATGATGGGTAAGAATGAAACAAACATATCAATTCTTGTTTTGCAACAAATTATCTATGTTTAAACTTCTAATAATAGAAAAAATCGAGGAACAGACAGAGGATCTGGCTGAGTGATCAATTTTTCATGATTTCGTTCACAAGAACAATGTCTATATTTTGACGTCAGTCTTAGCAACCCCCCACTGTATTAGGTTTCTAACATTAAACTAACAATGAGAAATTTATTTATCTGAGGTCGCCAAAACTCCTTTTGTTTTACACGAAAACGTTGATCTATAGCCGCTGCTATGAGTTGTAGGATCATTTTCTAAGGAAGGAACTGTTGGCTGGAGAACTAAAGTTAGCACATGGTTACGAGTGATTCAGATATGATTATTGTTCGCGACTGAGCATTGCTTAGAATATTGAGTAGTGTGACGGATATCTGCGGACATGATGTAATGTTTTAGCAATAAGTTCATGCTGGCCCTGTGGAGATGGGATCCGATCCGAGTACTCTCCATAGAGGATGTCCAGGTTAGATTTGTCTAGTTAGATACCTGTAAGTAAAAAAGTCCTTGTCTGTTTTCCTGATCAGGAGCTGTTTTTCTCCTGATTAGTGGAAGAAATCAAGACCACGAGCTTGTTGTATATATGCAAAAACTAGGTGTTCTACTTGCTAATCGCCCATATTGCGCAACAATCAGTTCTGGAGACCCTGTGGACACCTTCCAATGTAACTATCAGACTCTAAATGTCGTTAGGTATCTCTTGTTCAGCACAGAAATATCTAAGACATTACTCATCGCCTATGAGAATTACTTTGAAATTTTTCAAAGAATTAATGGTCACTATATACTACGTGACTTAGCAAAATAAAACGGTGACTACGAAAAGGAAACCCTAGCTCTGGTCTTGAGCCTGATCGGTGTCTGTTTCTTAAAAAATATCAAGATCTGATCTTATCGTTTTCTTGCTCTGACCCTGAAGGTGGGCAGAACAAGAAAAGGAAAACAGGAAACAGACGCCTGTACGTAAATAAGTCTTCACTCTGTTTTCGAGACCAAACAAACATTCTCTGGGGCACTTGTTGTTCGATGTGAATTGTAGGATCACACTCTATATATGTGTTATAGGAATGTGGATGATCAGGTTTTTTCGGTCGCGCTCCTAGTATTGTAAACGTTTCCAAATTGGACCCATTCCAATTCTGTAAATTTTTGTTTGTCGGTTCAAACTTTATTTTTAACATTTAATCGGTGGAAACCAGAACTGATTATCTGCATTGTAAATCATTTCTGATGAAACCTGTGAATATTAGCAAAAAAAACGTTCAGTACCAATGCATTGTCGTCTCTAATTGCACGAAAAAATTTCATAGAATTCGAGCTCATCAGTTCGGTAGAACTTTCTTTAAACTAGATGAATATCCAAGAGAAAAAGCTAAACGTCATCAAAAGCGACATACGGGAGCAACGGGTCTAAAACACAAACGTCATTCTACAAGATGTTTTTTGTTACTGATCACTGAAAAACCTCAGAAAAACGGTACTTCTTTCTTTTTTTCAGCTTCATTAAGTGGATTGATTACATATGTTCTACCGGCAGTACTCTTCTTCTTTATCCGAACATCACAATCGCAAACACCAACAGCAGCAACAAAATATATTGGTATGTGTATAAAGCACATCCTTTCAAATGTCAGATTGTTTTCCCTTCCATTAGGTATAATTGCCTTCTATGGCTATGTATTTGGTCTAATGACAACTCTCGTATGGATAACAGAATCGAGTTTAATAGCAGTTACAATGGGTCATCGTATTCGACAAGTGAAACAGCGTC